AAGAAACATTTTCTAAAATAACAGCTTCACTGAGACATCATCTACCTACCATAAAATCCACTTTTGTTTAAAACTGCAATTCAGTGATTTTTTAGTATGTCCACAGTTGTGCAAACATTACCATTCCAGAACATTTTCATCACCCCAGAAAGAAACTCCATACCCATTTGCAGTCACTCCTCATTCCCCCCTCCCACAGCCCCTGGCAGCACTAATTTACTTTCTGTGTGTATGGATTTGCACATTCAGGAAAGTTCATGTTAATAGAATTATAGAATGTGTGGCCTTTTGTATCTGGCTTCTTTCATTTAGCATAATGTTTTCAAGATTCATTCATTTTGTAGCACACATCAGTACTTTTTTCTTTTTATGGTTTCATCATATTCCACTGTATGGATATACCACATGGTGTGTATCTGTTTGGCAGTTGATGGATATTTGTGTTGTTTTAACATTTTGGCCCTTACAAATTATGCTGCTGTGAACATTTCCTGTGCAAGTTTTTGGTGTGGCACATGTTTTCAGATCTCTTGGGTATATAGCTAGGAATAGAATTGCTGGTTTAACTCTAACTTTTTGAGAAACTACCATGTTGAAGAAATAAATTTTTGGTTTTTGATTTTTTTTTTCTTTTTTTCTTTTTTTTGAGACAAGACCTCACTCTATTGCCCGGGCTAGAGTGTAGTGGTGTCATCATAGCTCATTGCAATCTTGAACTCCTGGGCTCAAGTGATCCTCCTGCCTTAGCCTCCCAAGTAGGTGGGACTTCAGGTGCTCATCACCATAACACTGTGCCTGGCCCTTTTTATAAAATTTTTAATCAGGGCCAGGCGCGGTAGCTCACACCTGTAATCTTAGCACTCTGGGAGGCCGAGGCGGGAGGATTGCTTGATCTCAGGAGTTCGAGACCCCGTCTCTACTAAAAATAGAAAGAAATTGGCCAAACAATTAAAAATAGAAAAAATTAGCTGGGCATGGTGGCGCATGCTTGTAGTCCCAGCTACCCGCGAGACTGAGGCAGGAGGATCACTTGAGCCCAGGAGTTTGAGGTTGCTGTGAGCTAGACTGACGCCACAACACTCTAGCCCAGGCAAGAGAGTGAGACTCTGTCTCAAAAAAAAAAAAAAAAAAAAAATTAATCAGAGCCACTGCATAAACATTCTCTCACATCCATGATTTCAAGATAATATATGTCATTGATAGAAATCAACAGCATGGACACTCCTTAAGTAATTAAAAAAATAGGTTTATTTTGGAATAATTTCAGATATATAGAAAAGTTGCAAGAATAGTACAGAGAGTTTCCTTGTCTAGTTTTCCCTGCGTTAACAGTTTACATTATGTGGTACATTTGTCAAAACTTAGAAAACACCATTGCTGTACTGGTATTAACTCAACTTCACTTTTTATTTGGGTTTTGCCAGTTTTTCCACAAATGTCCTTTTGCTATTCCAGGATCCATCTAGGGTACTACATGACACTTACTCACCATGTCTTCTTTGTCTCCTCTGATCTGTGTTAGTTTCTCCATCTTCCCTTGTTTTCTCATGACCTTAACAATTTTGAGAAGTTCTGGTCGGGTATTTTATAGAACGTCCCTCAATTTGGAAAAGGCAAGCCTTTATACTGCTAGCTGGTTCCCCACCTTCCCCCATTTAATGGAAAATTCCATGAAGCAGAAACGAGTGGCAGGTTTCATTTCATAAGATTCCTTCTTGAAGAAACCCGTGGAAAAGTGTGGAGTGGGGCCTGAGCTCCAGTTTGTCACAGATTTGGAGACCTTGAGCAGGTTACTGGGCCTGGAGTTTCTTCCTCTGTAAGACTCAAGAGGGTAAGCCTCGTTTCTTGGCACGGTTGTGAAGTCTAGACATGGTAAGTGGTAAAGAGCCTAGTGTAGTTCCTTTTTCCATCTTATGTGAGACCTGTTTTTTCCTGTGCTAGATGCATAGTTTGACTGTGGGGCAGAAGTTAAGAAGATGTTTGCTCTTATTCTGAGTTGCTTCAGGGAGAACCCTTGCCTGAGGTTGTGTGGTTTCCTGGTTTCCTGCACCATGACATGGGCATGACCACTTCTGTGCTTCTCAGTGCCCAGTTAGAACTAGAAGGGACCCAGAGGGTCATTTGGCCGAGGGTGACCTAGTTATTTGGATTTCATAGATTGGTAAAATCCTAAAAACTGGAGGATCAATAATAGGGTTGTCTATCTTTATTTTTGCTCAGGTAGGATAATTGAAAAACAACCACCATCTACTCACACCATGATTTTATAAAAGTAAGAATGTTTGAACTCCAAAAAACAAGGAAGTTCCTAACCTAAAAAGAAATGATAATAGTAGTTAATATTTATGAAGCACTTAGTTTAGTTTTATGAGAAGCTTATACATTATTATTTTTCTCATTTTACTTCAGACTAGAGAAATTGAACACCTCCAGTCCTCAGACTTGTGTCCAAGACCCACTATCCACCTATCTTCAGCCAGAACTGTATCTATAACTCACTGGACTTTTTTGTGTATCTTTTTTTTTTTTTCTCATTGAAGAAGGGAATTACAGGAGTGGCAGCATAATCTATTGATAGATAAGAAGAACTAGGCTAGGCTTTAAAACTGACTAGCTTGCTGAAAACTTGACTATAAGCTCCTTCACGTGAGACCTTTCTTTTTTAACTCTTGAAAATATCTGAAATATATATCAAATATATTTGAGTGTATAATATATCCAACATAATATTTGAAATATATATCTAATATATAATATTTGACATACAATATATCGCTGTTAATTCTTTAAAAATTTTGAAGTATATATCAAAAATATATACAATGTTTATGTTCAGTTTTAAGAATAGCAAAACAAACACCCCTATGCCTACTACCCATCCAGCTTAAGAAATAGAGCATAACTCATACTTCTGAAGCCTGCTGTTTCCCTCTCAAACTGCATTCCTTTTGCCACCTAAGTACCATTATCCAAATTTATTTTTTCTTTATAGTTTTACCATATGTGTAAATATCCCTAAACAATATATTGTTTAGTGTTGCCTCTTTTTGAACTTGATATAAATGGAGCTATGTTAGGAGGCCAGGGATTCCTTCTTTTCAATTTAATTTTGTTCATACCCCTCTATCCATGTGTGTTCTCGAAGTTTGTGGAGGATGAGGGTTGAGATCTAAAGTCCACCGTGGGATAGATGGCCCCAGAATCTGCATGTCTAGAAGTGGATCCCCCCTCCCAGTCATCTTCCTGTCAGTCTAGGATGAAATTCCTGCCCTTAGAATCATACAGAGTTCTTGTAGAAATGTCCTTCTAATTTTATTGTTTCAACTGAGAGGGCTACTGCAGTCAGTCTTTGGTGACCTGAAGGTTATACAATTTGGGGTTCCTATTTAAGAAAAATAAAACAAAATTACAAATACAAAATTAGATAAAGGGCCATGGAAGGAGCTCCTACAAGCGGCGGCCCGAAGCCTAAGGGCCATTAGCTTCATGGTGCAGCTGTCTCTGCCATGTGTACCCCTGTAAGTATGAGCATACTTATGGGGACAGCAGATTAATTTATTTGCTTGAGATGGGGGTCTTGCTCTGTCACCCAGGGTGGAGTGCAGTGGCACAATCATAGTGCACTGTAACCTCGAACTCCTGGGTTCCAGTGATCTTTCTGCCTCCATCTCCCAAGTAGCTGGGACTACAGGTGCACACCACCGTGCCTGGCTAATTAAAAAAATTTTTGTGGAGACAGGTTCTCACCATGTTGCCCAGGCTGGTCTTGAATTCCTGGCCTCAAGAGATCCTCCTGCCTTGGCTTCCCAAAGTGTTGGGATTATAGGTGTGAACCACCTTGCCTGGCCAACAGCAGAAACATTTAAGTACATCTTACAGAATAGATTTTTCACATTCCTTGTTTGATACAGTGAGCTCATTTAATCTCAATAACCTTTTAAAAAATTAGACTTTTTATTATGAGATATAATTACAGATTCATATGCAGTTGTAAGAAATAATACAGAGAAAGCCTGTGTACCCTTTGCCCGATTTCCCCCAGTGGTACCATCTTATAAAACTATGGTACATTATCAAAACCAAAATATTGGCTCACTAACCCTTTGAGGTATGTGCTATCACCCCCATTTTTATTCCTGATTAAACTGGGGTTCAGGGAAATGCACAGGCTTGTCCCAGGTCACCTAGGAGTTAAATATGGTCTCTGACTTCCAGGCAGTGGTGTTTCCATCTGACTGTGGGCTTCGGGCAGCATTTGTTTGATCGTTCGTTTGTTCATTCCTTCCTTCAACAAACATCTATTGAGTACCTCCTATGAGTCAGATTCTTTCATATGGGTTATTTAATTTAATTCTTCAACAGTGCTGGGAATCAGGAAATAATGTTTTCTTTTTATATCTGGCAAAATTGGCTCAGAGAGGTTATAAAAACTCTCATTTATAAAGGAGGGGCAGTATATTTGGATAATCCCTCCTTTTATGTCAGGTATTGTGCTAGGTACTTTACATTTGCAACTTCCTTTAGTCTAGATACAATTATAGAAGGCAAGTTTTATCATCTCCATTATTTTGTAGCTGATGAGGAGCTCAGGGGGACTGGAATTCAAATCCAGTTCTGATTCACTGTGTTTTTTTCCATCATATCCTGCCGAGGGGGTGGGGGGCAATTATTCATATGTTCTTTCATTCATCCAATAAACATTTTTGAGCATTAACTCTATATCACTACCCAGGTAGGTGGTGGGAATAGAAAGATAAAAAACAGCCCCATTTCTGCAGAAGCTCAAAGCTGAGTCCAAGAGACCGAAAACCAACAGTTACAGTATTGTGCTAAGAACTATGAGAGCCATACCTAGAACTCTAAGGATGATTGATTTCACAGCCTTACTTGGGGTTTATCCTGCCTTCCAGGCAGTAAGCGTCAGAATTACTGCATCCCAAAGTGGGCCAACAGCATTCAGAACTGTGCATCTCAAAGCCTTGTTTTTTCTCTTTGGACAGGGACTTCAAAATGAGTGTCCCTGACTATATGCAGTGTGCCGAGGACCACCAGACTCTGCTTGTGGTGGTCCAGCCTGTTGGCATTGTCTCTGAAGAGAACTTCTTCAGGATCTACAAGAGGATTTGCTCCGTGAGTCAGATCAGCGTGCGGGACAACCAGCGAGTGCTCTATATCCGCTATAGGCACCACTACCCACCAGAAAACAATGAGTGGGGTGACTTCCAGACCCACCGCAAGGTCGTGGGCCTCATCACCATCACAGACTGCTTCTCGGCCAAGGACTGGCCACAGACCTTCGAGAAGTTCCACGTGCAGAAGGAGATCTACGGCTCCACGCTGTACGACTCCCGGCTCTTTGTCTTTGGGCTGCAGGGGGAGATTGCAGAGCAGCCCCGTACGGACGTGGCCTTCTACCCCAACTACGAGGACTGCGAGACTGTGGAGAAGAGAATTGAGGACTTCATTGAATCTCTCTTCATTGTGCTTGACTCCAAGCGTCTGGACAGAGCCACAGACAAGTCTGGGGATAAGATCCCCCTTCTCTGTGTCCCGTTTGAGAAAAAGGACTTTGTAGGATTGGACACAGACAGTAGGTAAGTTTACCTAGACACCTGGGTTCCTTGGCTTCCTTGCTTACATCAGAAGGGATAAGTTATTGCAGCAAGGCTTAGAAAGGTGTTGCCCACTGGTTTTTAAAACCCGTGACTTTTAAAAACAGGGACAGTCTTTGGTTAGGGGGAGTCTTTCAGAGTTAGTGGTACACTCACTTCCCTTTTCCAGGGGGGAATCCCAAGTGGGGCTCTGGGGAGCTGCGTCCAGTACAGGAGCCGCAGCCACTCGAGACTTTCAAGCCATAGAAACGAGGCTAGTTGAGATGTTCTGAGAATAAGATGCGTACCAGATTTTGAGACTTGCTACTGAAAAAAGAATGTAAAATATCTTGCTAATATTTTTTGTATAGGTAACGTGTCAAAATGATAGTATCTTACATATATTAGGTTAAATAAAATATTAAAGTCAGTTTCAATTGTTTTTCACTTTTTAAAATGTGGCAGCTAGAAACTCAATTTACTTATGTGGCTTGCATTTTATTTTTGTTGGGCATTGCTGCCCTAAAGCACAGTTTACAAAATTTTTTTCAGTCTTATACCTTTGATTTATAGATGAGGTGCTGAATCTGGAGAGGCAGGAACTAGGTCCAGGTTGAGCTAGAGGTGGAGCCCACATCTCCTGGTTCCCTGGCTGGGCACCCTGCATGTGTCAGGCTACTTACTTCTCACCTGATGGTCACGGTGTCAGATTCCTCACTTATAGAGCAGTCAAGACAGAGTATCAGGATGGCAGAAATGGCCACAGGGAGTCCTTAAAGAGCTGCCTTACACAAATGGAAAGTATGTCTGTGTTTTCTGTATACCAACGAGTGTTGGGTAGAGCAGGAAAATGTCAGTCTTCACATCTTGCCTGCTATTGATTCAGAAACTTTACTAAGAACCAGAATTGCAGATTTATTCTTTTTTGCCATTTCTTCTGTCCTGCCCACTGCTCTATTTCACCATGTAGCCATGTGACTGTCCAGCAGAGGATGAGATGCAAGCTTAGGCAGTAACTGCCCAGAGACACACAGGGAGAGTGCAGTGTAGCTGTGTCACTCACCGGCATTGTGGCCTTAGGCAGGGCGCCTGGTCACTCTGAATCTCTCTTTCTTCTTCTGTAGGATTCAGACATTGATCCACAGGTGAGGATTAAATGACATAATGTGCATGCTGGCATAGTGCCTACTGCAAAGTAGGTGCTCAGTATGTTTCTTGAATTTATCTGAGGTCAAACAGTGACTTTCTGGTTGTTGGTAAGTCTGAGGAGAAAATATCACAGAATTGACAAAAATAGTCCAAGTCCAGCCCCGGGAGTTGGAAGCACATAGTAGCCCCAGTCACACCTGCGTGTGGCACTTTGCATGGCCTGGAAGGAATTTTCATTTTCTCACCTAAACATGTGTATTTGGCTTAAGGAAAGGGAACACAGCATGTCATAGACCTGAACTGTGTTTAATCCTCACAGCAGCCTTGTGGTCTACTACAATTACTCTGGTTGGCTGCTGTGGGGCTGAGGTAGCAAGGTGTAGAAACCTGGGCAGGCACTGAATGGCAGAGCTGATATACACACTGGGTCTGACTCCAGAGCCTGGGACCTTCCCACCTTCCCTTGCAGCCCACTGCTATGCCTCCCATGCCTCTTGAAGAACTCACACTGCTGTTGGGGGGGCAGGTACCTGCAATAATCATTTTTATAAAGTGGTGCTGTATAGTGTACACAGTTCAGGGATTTCCTTGACTGGTACCTTCCTCCTTTGCCACACGGGGCACCAGTAACATTTTTCAGTCACAAGCTTCTTGGCTGTGAGGTTGCAAATCCACCAGTGAATGCCAGCTCCCTTGCCATTTTTTTTGAAGAGATAGAGTCTTGCTCTGTTGCCCAGGCTGGAGTGTGCAGTGGTGTGATAATAGCTTATTGTAACCTCAAACTCCTGGGCTCAAGTGATCCTCCCACCTTAGCCTCCCCAGTAGTTGGGACTACAGATGCACACCACCATGCCCGGCTAATTTTTAAATTTTTTGTAGAGATGGGAGTGATCTCGCTATGTTGCCCAGGCTGGTCTTGAACTCCTGGCCTCAAGTGATCCTCCCAGCTCGGCCTAGTAAAGCGCTGGGATTACAGAAGTGAGCCACTGTGCCCAGCCTCTTTTGCCTTTTAAAATCTGTGCTCACAATTTAGCAGGAATAAAGAGCATGTATTGGGATGTGGTGCCTCACATATAGTGGATAATAATACATGAGTGTTTGTTGAGAGCCTTCATGTGCCAGGCACAGCTCTAGGCACTGAAAATACAGCGGCAAGTAAAACTGCCCTCATGGCTGCCCATTCTACTCTAGTGGGACAACTGTAGTCATAAACGTCGTCATCATTTGGGCTTCAGTGAGGTAATGACGCCAGTGAACTTAAATCAAATACATTCTCCTTTGATAGCTGTTAGTAGGTTGTGGCTTTCACTACTCCATCACTGAAAGCAATGATTCAGTGCAGGAACAGAGCCTTGCTCCGCCTGCAACTCTTGGTAGGAGTGAGAAAGTGTTCAACCTGAAATGAGGTAGTATTTTGTAGCTTAATAGGAAATGTCTAGATGTAAGTGCAATTTTGCTTTGACACATTGACCATACTGGGAGGGTCTGTGACAGATAAGTCTAACTTCAGGTCCTAGACTTCCCAGTAACCCCAGGTGCAGATGAATTTTACCTAGAAGTTTACATGTTCCCCTACTCATAAAACCAATGGTCAGTTCTTGTATCTGTGCTGTTGTAGCTATCAAAATTATTTTTGTTCTTATGTGTTTCTAATTTTTGCTTGTTCCTCTTTCTTTTCTTTTTCTTTTTTTTTTCCATCATACTGCCCTGTGAGTATGTTGTTGGGTCTGAAAAGGTAGGCTGTGAACATATTGCATTAAAAATAGCTAGATTTCCCTATGTGCTGCCTTCTCATAGCCTTCATCGCTTTAAAAAACAAAAACTTACTGCTGCGTAGATCCATATGTTAATTGAGTAATCTTTTTGTTTTTTTAATATGTTTTTTAATTTTAGCTTTTTTAGCACGTAACCCATTGGAGTTTAATATTTGTTAAAATACTTGCTCTGGGAGAACTTGTTTGGTCTTTAGTGTTTGGTAACAAATGAGGCTTTATTAATTTTTTTGTTTGTTTCGAGGAAGTGAAATGCTAATTGATTTGGTTGGCTGCAGAAGGATTTTTCACAATATATTTTAACTGGAAAGGTCTAAGACTGCAGCGCCTTGCTTGGCCCTGGGCTTCTAAGTGAACACATCCGGCATGTGATTCCCAGCTGTGGCTGCGTGACGGTGACGTGCATGAGGGTGAAGCTGCAGCAGCGTGCTGGCAGCTGCGGGAGGGGAGCTGCGGGAGGGAGTGTCTGCCCGTCTTTCGTTTTGCCTTGAGCATGCCATTTCCCCTTTGCCTTCACCTCAGCAACTCTCCCCCATGAAGTGGGCAAAGGCCATTCTAAAACTGACACAGTCTTTTGCCCTGCTTTCTGAGGGTTCAAGTGAAATTTTTTTAAGTATCATGAAAATATGGCCTTCTCCTAAACAGCTAGTTCCCCTGGATCTTGCGGGCACGAGGACCTCTATAATTGACCACTGTTTCCCCTCTGCTCCTGCCAATGAGCATTCAGAGCCAGAGTGGTGATTCACCTGTGGCTACTGCACAGGCCTTTACCTGCACCAGATTTTCTTTTTAACCCTGCGAAGGCAAGGAAGCTGTCTCTGTACTTGTTGAAGATAACCATCACTGATGGCACGCCATTTATTTGTGTTACTGATCTAGACCCTTCAGCATCCAAGGTCAGCCATGCAGGACGATCTTTGGCTGACCTAGTCCGCCCACCCCATTTCATCTCACTGCAGGGAAAGGTTCTCACTTGTGTTTTGCTGCCACCAACGTGCTGCCCAGGAGCCTTGTTTCTTCTTTAGTGCTCAGGTCCAAATGTGAGCACGTTCATTCTTCATTTACTTTGTGTCAGTTGAGATAGGCCAGACTTTCTGAAATATTTCACCACATTCCAGGGTGGGAGAACAAAAAAGAAATGAAGGTAGCAAGTACAAGAAGTTGGAACTATTCAGCTTGGAAAATGCCAGGCAGGGATCCTGGGATGGCTGTTTTATCCTGGGCTGCGGGGCCTTTCCTGCCGCTTGCTGGATCCCGGGGTAGATGTGAGGACAGCCGGCCTGGGCTCCCCTCCTCCCCTGCTCTCCTCTGGTAGGTGTGCCGCCAAGACCATTACCCAGGAGCTCTTCTGGACATTAGGCCCCTCAGAGCCCAGACCATGGGAGAACTGTGAATCCTTGCCATGGGTTGTCCTCTTGGCCTCCTGTGTGAGAGACAAGTGCCTTTCCTAAGTGCCTTGTGCCAGGAGAGACCTCCCTCATTGGCAAGTGTCCTCCAGGGTGACTCAGCACACATTTATTGGGTGCCTGCTGTGCGCTGTGCTAGGTGCTGGGGAACCAAGTTGAGATATACTTGAGAGACAGAGATGAAGAAAAGATGATGACAGAAAGAGGAAACGAACTATGACACTCAGGTTTCTGATGGGAACAAATAGGTATATGGTGGGGCTATTTACTATGATGGGGAAGACTGGGAGGTGTTTTTGAGATGCCTGCTGGGCATTCAAGTGGAGATATTAAAGAGGCAATTGGATTTGAGTAAGGGGAAGGAGTTGGACTAGACATACACATGGGCGTATTTAGCCTGTATTTAAGACCATGAATATGGATGAGCTGATCTGGGGAGAATGCAGACTGAGGCAGGGGGAAGGTACAGGGCTGACCCCTGGGTACTCACCATGTCTGAGAGGTTGGTGGAAAGCCCAGATCATGGAGGTTTTATATATTAGTCTAAGGAGTTTGGGTTTTAGGAGTAGCTGCCATTTATCTGAAAAGTGCTGGGTATGGGGCTGCTACTAAAGAAATCTGAAGGGAATGATTTGGCCAGATTTGCATTTTAGAAAGATTGCTCTGGCAGCAGGAT